CTGGCCTTTTTTTTTTTGCTTGCCAGTGTCCAATCGTCCTGCAGGTGGCAGTATAACCCGACAGTAAATGACTTCATGTGTTCCTCAACTGCCTTCAAGGAAAGGATTTTGCATTGAGTACAAAAATCTTATTTGCTGAAGTCTGAATCTTTTTTTCCTTCAAGTATGTAAACCTTCATAGTCAACGTCAGCTAATTGTTTCTCTTTGGCCTGTTACATATAGCAATAAAAAGTATTTTGTTATATATAATAAGTGAATAAAAATACCTGTTGTACTTGTCAAAAATCTTGAGAACAGCTAACTTCCTGTTAGATTAAAGGAGAACTATGAGGTGAGTGATATTCACTCATCCTCATAGTTCGAGCCGACGTGTGACAATGAAACCGTCACACGTCGGCTCAATAGATCGGGAAGTGTGTGAAGACATACCGTCACTCGCTGCAGAGAGCCGTGACTGTCACGGCTCCCTGCAGAGATTCCCCCCCTTCCCGCTCTGATCCTCCAGCGCTGACTGGCGGACGGAGGAGGGGGCGGGTACAGCTGGCTCTGCCTCTAGATAGGCAGAGCCAGCTGTCACTCACGCAACTGGGTGGATCTCGACAGTAATGTCGGGATTCGTCCCGGCTGCGGCGTCTCAGTATACCGCGAGCTGCAGCTCGCGGTATACTGAGCTTTGGGTCACGGGAGGACGCTAGTTTGAATACTGAGCTTTGGGTGACGGGAGGACGCTAGAAAATCTGCCCCTATGTTATGGAGAAGAGGGGGAGGTTTTCTGTAGTCTTGTCTTAGGGTGACAAAGCTGTTACATAGAAGTATGGTACAGTCTCCCCTTTTGACAGGAAGTGTGTCACTGTGGCGGGATCACCAGGTAAAAATAAAGGTAGCAGAAAGGACTAGTAGGGTGCAATATTATTATTATTATACAGGAGTTATAGAGCGCCAACAGTTTGCTCAGCGCTTTACAATATAAGGAAGACATTACAATACAATTCCAGACAAGATGGTAAGGAGGGCCCTGCCCCTGAGGGCTTACAATCTGAAAGAGGAGGGGGAAGTGATACATGAGGAGGGAGCTGTGTGGGGAGGAATTGTTTGAGAACGTGATAGTTCAGTGGTTAGGTTGAGGTGGGATAGGTGAATATGTGAATATAGTTCACACCATAGGCTAGAGTCTCACAAGATATCTTCTGTCTCCCGCAGTGAAAAGCCGCAAGCCGTCCATCGGGGAGCTGATCTTGCGTCACACCAACAGCCCGACTCGAGCGAGGCAAGCCGCGCAAATGGCGTTCCAGCACGTCCGGGACGGGCAGGTCCTGCACGCTCTGTCCGGCACATCCATATTCAAGACGTCGGCGGAAAAGCAGAACGAGGCGCTGCGGGTCAAGAACGCAGTGTACTGCGCGGTTATTTTCACCGAGTTCATGAAGGAGCTGGCGGCCATAACGCAGGAGCACGCCGTCACGTCGCCCTACCTTCCGGCGGACACCGAGGAGTGAACGAAAACCTTCCAACGAGACATGATTTTAGGCACACTCCACACGGTGCTTTGACCTGCAGTTGGGCGGGTGCGGCAATGACGAAAAACAACGGATGGCGCCGTTGTCAACCAATCCAAGAAATGGGTGCCATCGGCGCAGCAAAACTGCTCAGCGTGGGCTTTTGTCACGTACAGGTTAGCGATGTTTCGGAGCCATAAGGGACCCCTTCATCAGGCAGCCATGATCATAATAACGATGCAAACTCCAGCCTTACCCTTTTGCCCCAATCTTGTAGCAAGGAGGGGTGGGGCGGGAGGGGAGAGGGGGGGCACTAGGGAAGGTGTTGTATGCGTGCTTTACACTTCAGCCCTTTGAGTTGGTTGCTTCGGCAATGCTCCGTGACTTCTGCCACGTGGTGGTTAATATGTCATCATGTATTGTGATCAGTTTGCTGAGCTTTTCAGCACCCAGTGTGTCCACACCACCACAGTAGGGGAGCGGTACACTCGCGGTTGGAGAGGCTCGCTCATGGATTGTCTGGTTTGCATTATTATCTTCCCCATTGCCCAATAACGGAGTCCCGTCGCAGCTCCGAAAAACGTCTCTGTCCTTTACGTGACGCTGGGACAGGTTTGGTGTGTTGCAGAACATCCAGCGTGTCCGGAGCCTCGTGCCATCGTGGCAGCAGAACTTATTTTTTTTAGGGTGACGTCTCCCGCGTAGTTCCGGGAGACCGCCGGATGGGACCTCCCTCTTGGATTTACAAAGCCGACAAAACCCGCGTAGTCTCCCGCGTAGTTCCCGGAGATCGCCGGATGGGACCTCCCTCTTGGATTTACAAAGCCGACAAAACCCGCGTAGTCTCCCGCGTAGTTCCCGGAGATCGCCGGATGGGACCTCCCTCTTGGATTTACAAAGCCGACAAAACTTGGGATCGGGCCGCCCCGTTGTTTGCCAGAATTCAGCTGGTCTGTAGAGACAAAATGACACTAATCCGGAATCACAACTGTGAACGTTGGCTCAGTGCGGCAGAGGGAGACGTAAGGCTTCGGGGCCTAGGGCCCTCGTCGTGTGGCTTTGTCTCTGTATTTCCCAGCTGGAACTGAACCCGCCGGCATCCGTTTTATAACAGGAAGTTGTGTGTTTTTTTTTTTTTAATTTTTAACTTATTTAAGTGGCAGTGTGTTCTGAAAGGGCAGTGCGTCCTTGTGTATGTATATATCTGTATGTACATGTGTGTGTGTGTGTATATAGATATACATATATTTATACGTACACCGCCATGCGTATACTGCACCGTACATTTCATCTGGGCATTGTGTACATAGCTCAAGATCGTCAGCCCACTGGAATTCTGGGAGATCCAGTTTTTAACTGTTCACACTAAGGGTGCCCTTAGACCCATCGGCTCCACCCATAGGCACCCGTTCCAGCGGACTCTTTTAGTTTCATTGGCATATGTGTCTTATCGCACCGGTTTCTGGGTGCCTACTCTCCTGTCCTTTAGTGTCACCCCCCCACCCCCCCCAAACAAAATGTGTCCGTAGAGTGGGTGATTCTATAATCAGCTATGACATAACCCTGTAATTGATCCCCGTGTATGTGTATTAGGCCGACCCCCCTTTCCATTTCCCAAAGGTCTCTGTTCCTGGGAGACTCCCCAGTACCACTCAAAGATCTGTCCCGAGTCACCACCTCAGCTGTGGGTGCTCACATCTCCGGGATCCCAACCTATCCACAGGGCATAATAGGAAACGGCACGCCGCCCTTCTGTTAAATAACTTTATCGATCCAGCACTGTTTAGGACACTCTACCCAACGCCTTTCACCTCTTACTGGTTGCTGCATCATGGACCTCTATGATTAAAGGAGAACTATGGGGTTAGGGCTTTTCCCCATAGTTCTCCTTAGGGTAACGGGAGGACACAAACTAGCGTCCTCCCGTCACCCTAAGCTCAGTATACCGCGAGCTACAGCTCACTATATACTGAGACGCCGCAGCTGAAGTGGATCCCGACAATACTGTCTGGATCCGCCCAGCTGCGTGAGTGACAGCTGGCT